TATCAAAAATAATAGGAAGAACTAGAAAAGCACTCAGAGAGTGCAGACCTCCGCCAAGGTGCGTATATAATGTACTTACACCGCTGCTGCGTCCAGACGGTAATTCGGAATGTCAGTGAAATGTGGTACACGTTTACCGTAGATTTGTGTACTTTATTGATTAATTAATGATAATATAATAATAACCAGACGGTAATTCGGAATGTCAGTGAAATGTGGTACACGTTTACCGTAGATTTGTGTACTTTATTGATTAATTAATGATAATAATAACCAGACGGTAATTCGGAATGTCAGTGAAATGTGGTACACGTTTACCGTAGATTTGTGTACTTTATTGATTAATTAATGATAATAATAATGATGATAATAACAATAACAATATCAATAAAAATAACAATAGAAAGAATTACAGTGATAATATTATCAGTAATAACAATAATGATGATTGTGATAGTGATGATGATGATGATAGTAATGATATAATAACAATGATAATAATAATAATAATGATAATAATAATAATAATAATAATAATAATGATAATAATAATAATATAATAATAATAATAATAATGATAATAATGATAATAATAATAATAATAATGATAATGATAATAACAATAATGATGATTGTGATGATGATGATGATGATGATAATATTAATATTAATAACAATGATAATAATAATGATGATAATAAAAATGATAATAATGATAATATTAATAGTGTTAATTATTATACATATAATATTAATGGTAATAATGATAATGATAATAACAATAACAATATCAATAAAAATAACAATAGAAAGAATTACAGTGATAATATTATCAGTAATAACAATAATAATAATAATAACAATAATAATATTATCAAAAATAATAGGAAGAACTAGAAAAGCACTCAGAGAGTGCAGACCTCCGCCAAGGTGCGTATATAATGTACTTACACCGCTGCTGCGTCCAGACGGTAATTCGGAATGTCAGTGAAATGTGGTACACGTTTACCGTAGATTTGTGTACTTTATTGATTAATTAATGATAATAATAATAATAATACCATTATTATTATCATCATTATTATTATAATGATAATAACAATAACAATATCAATAAAAATAACAATAGAAAGAATTACAGTGATAATATTATCAGTAATAACAATAATAATATTATCAAAAATAATAGGAAGAAATAATAACCAGACGGTAATTCGGAATGTCACCAAAATTTAATCAGTTCTAAGTTAGTCCCTTTCTGACTTGCCCCCAAAAATTCGATGAAATCCGGCCAGTACTTTTTGAGCTAGGCTGCTAACAAACAAACTAACCAACAAACCAACGCCGTCAAAAACATAACCTCCTTGGCGGAGGTAATAACAGTAATAATATCATCAGTAATGACAATAACAATAAAAGTAATAACAATAATGATATTGATAATTATAAATCATAATAATATGAATAATAATGATAATAATAGTAATAATGATGATAATAACAATAATGATGATTGTGATAGTGATGATGATGATGATAGTAATGATATAATAACAATGATAATAATAATGATGATAATAACAATGATAATAATGATAATAATAATAATAATAATAATAATAATAATAATGATAATGATAATAATAATAATTGTATTGATAATAATAATGATAATGATAATAACAACAATAATAAAAATGATAATAATAATGATAATAATGATAATTACTATGATCGTAATAATAGTAACAACAAATATAATCATAATAATAACTAAAATGATAATAATAATAACAATAATAATAATAATAATAATAATAATAATAATGATGATAATGATAATGATAATAATAATAATAATAATAATAATAATAATAATGAAGAAGATAAAAATAATAATGACAATAATGATAATGAGAATAAAAATAATAATAACAACAATAATATTGATAACCATAATGATAATAAAAAAGACAATGATTATGCAAATAGTAATTACTATTTTTGATATAACAGTAATGATATTGGCAACATTAATAATAATAATGATAATAATAATAATAATAATAATGATAACATAATAACAAAAATGATAATATGAAAATAATATAAATAATAATAAAAAAATAATAATGACGATACTATGAATATTATTATTAATAGTAGTAGTCACTAGTAGTAGTAGTAGTAGTAGTAGTAGTATCATAACATTAGTAATAATGTGATAATAAAACAATAATGACAATGATAATAATAATGGTAATAACTATAATAATAATAATAACAGTGATAATACTAGTGACAGTAATGATAATGATAACTATGATAATACTGATGATGATGATAATAACAACAACGAAAACATCAATAATAAAAAAATATTGTAATGATAATGACGATAGTAATCATATAATTAAAAAAAATAATAATAATGATAATAATAGGAATAATAATAGTCATAATGATAATAATAAGAATGATAAGAATAATTATAATATTAATGATGTTAATAAGATAATAATAACAATAAATATAATAATAAAAATGATAGTAATAATAATGCTAATAATAAAAGCTATTGTAAGAACAATAGTGATAATAAATAATAATAATAATAATAATAATAATAATAATGATAATAATAATAATAATAATAATGATAATAATAATAA